AGAAAAAGTGCTGTACGCTTGGGACAGCCAGCGTCAAGTCACTTATTCTCTTACTTTTGAGGAATAGATCTCTTGTTCAACATTTTCTCGTAACCTGTTGAGCAACAATATTTATAATAAGGGAGTTTAGGAAAACCACGACCGCAATGGCAACGGGAACGTCGTTCAACAAAAGATTTCGTGAGCAGTACAATGGCTGTGCACGTGCGTTATAATTCTTGGTACATTTCTTTGCCGTCCTCTGCGAAACAGCAATGTGAAATGACAAATTCTACGTTGTCTGGAGAACGTGAACTACGACGGCTAATTTTTTAAATTTATATTTCAAACGTTTCGCCCTGTCCTAGATTCAGTTTCGTGATAGTTTTGACGCTAAGAAACAAAGGAAAATGACTTTAGAGTATCGCGAAATTCGTAGGTAAAATATAAATTCACTTTTTATTCGACGTTGTCCTCGGCGTCGCCGTTGTGGTTACTTAACTCCGTAATTTCGCATTGCACTGCAAGTTGATAAGTGTTATCGCGTGTTGTTCAGATTGTTCCACCACATGATGCTGCAAGTTGCANCCAAAGAAAAAGTGCTGTACGCTTGGGACAGCCAGCGTCAAGTCACTTATTCTCTTACTTTTGAGGAATAGATCTCTTGTTCAACATTTTCTCGTAACCTGTTGAGCAACAATATTTATAATAAGGGAGTTTAGGAAAACCACGACCGCAATGGCAACGGGAACGTCGTTCAACAAAAGATTTCGTGAGCAGTACAATGGCTGTGCACGTGCGTTATAATTCTTGGTACATTTCTTTGCCGTCCTCTGCGAAACAGCAATGTGAAATGACAAATTCTGCGTTTTCTGGAGAACGTGAACTACGACGGCTAATTTTTTAAATTTCTATTTCAAACGTTTCGCCCTGTCCTAGATTCAGTTTCGTGATAGTTTTGATGCTAAGAAACAAAGGAAAATGACTTATCGCGAAATTGGTAGGTAAAATATAAATTCACTTTTTAATCGACGTTGTCCTCGGCGTCGCCGTTGTGGTTATTTAACTCCGTAATTTCGCATTGCACTGCAAGTTGATAAGTGTTATCGCGTGTTGTTCAGATTGTTCCACCACATGATGCTGCAAGTTGCAACAACATGTTGCTCAGCAGAGCAAGATCGCTCAACATGTTGCCACAACTTGCACCGAGCACTGCACTGAGCCAGTGATCGCTAATACGGGAAATAACCAACTTTTTTCAACTTACAATGTGACATTGTTGCGCGACAAGTTGTGAGAAGATGTTGCCCGTC